CAAAAGTAGCCTAAACCCTAAACTGTCAACCCTTTTGCTGCAGGCTTGCAAGCAAGAACGCCTGGTAGGTAGCCACTGTCAACCCTAAACCCTAAACCCTAAAACTTCGCGTTGTGCCTGAGGCCAAGGCGGAGGAGCCCAATCCTGTGGCTGCTGCCCATTCCATCTGCATCCTCGGATGCGATGTGCTTATACGGTTTAGGGTTTAGGATGGTCCTAGCCTACCTATCTATCCATCTCTCGTTCTGTCTTTTCTTCTACTGGTTGGTCCCAAAGAGACCACAGCGCGGTAGTTAACCCGCAGGGTTTCATGGCATACACTCAAAGACCTACACCAGCAGTCGGAGCCAGTCTGAGACCAAGTTTCAGCCGGCACATGCATGCAGCGCAACAAAAGAAAGAAAAAAGCTCTGCCAGCAAAGAGCTGGCGATAGCTGGCTGATCTCCCCTAGATTTCGAATGGCCGTGTTTGGAGACGATCGGTGTACCTGTGCCAGCTGATGCTCATGCAGGCTTCGCTGCTTCATGTCTCCGGTGCGCAGGCACTGTGGACACGCTGGCCTGTGCGCATACTTTACAGCATTGGGATGCATTTTATGGCCTCAGAATGTTGGCCACCTCGGGAGGTATGATGCTGGCGCTTCTTGTCCCGTATGCTGTCTGGATTTTGTGTGGGATCAGCCGGCCTTTGCTAGATGACGCCTGTCATGCTGCACTGCTGCACGCATTGGTTCGGAATTCGTCAATGAGTCAATGTTGGGCGTGCATTTTATCGGCTGGCGACCGGGATGCTGCTGCCGGTGGCTGCCTGGTTTGCAGCCATGGGGTTGAGGAAGATGCCAGATATCTATATCTCTATAATACTATATCTAAAGCATCATCAGCTGAAAAAACTCATCGCTGGCCTCCACACACCGCCAAGCGAGCATGACCGTCTCTTGGTGGGTGGCGAGCGTCAGCTGTCCGAGGTCGCCAAGATAAATTCAGGCCCCTTCAACATCAAAGGCACTCCCCCTCTCAAAGCCCAAAACCACATCACACAATGTGAAGGCTAGCGAACACGAAACGTCGTAAACCACGAAGCGCGCAAGAACAGCATTAGCTGCGCCTGCCCTCAAAATCACACCAGCAGCGGGGAAAGGAGACCAGCATCATCTGCATCAGCCCGTTTATGGGACGCCTGACGCCAGCAGTGAGGCAAAGGGGCAACCATCATGTATCAGCAGCGCCACCTTGCAAAGGCCAGTCTATTATCGAAATACGAACCAACATCATCAGCATCAGCTCGCAAGGGCCAGCGGGTCACCAAAACAGGAAAACTTGCATCAGCCGGCAAAGGCCAATCGGTCATCACACGCGAACCAGCATCATCAGCATCAGCTCGCAAAGGCCAGACGGTCACCGAAACAAGCAAACCTGCATCAGCAGCATCAGCTCGCAAACGCCAGTCGGTCACCAAAACAGGAACCAACATCATCAGCATCAGCTCGCAATCGCAAGTCGGTCACCAAAACAGGAACCAACATCACCAGCATCAGCTCACAATCGCCAGTCGGTCGCCAAAACAGGAACCAACATCACCAGCATCAGCTCGCAAAGGCCAAAACAGGAACCAACATAATCAGCATCAGCTCGCAAAGGCCAGTCGGTCACCGAAACAAGAAAACCTGCATCAGCAGCATCACCTGTCAAAGTCCAGTCGATCACCAAAACACGAACCAACATGATCAGCATCACCTCGCAGGCCAGTCGGACCCCGAAACAAGCAAACCTGCATCAGCAGCATCACCTGGCAACGGCCAGCCGATCACCAAAACAGGACAACTTGCATCAGCAGCATCACCCGGCAAAGGCCCATCGGCCACCAAAACAGGAACCAACATCACCAGCATCAGCTCGCAAACGCCAGTCGGTCACCGAAACAAGAAAACCTGCATCAGCAGCATCACCTGGCAAAGTCCGGTCGATCACCAAAACAGGAACCAACATCATCAGCATCACCTCGCAAAGGCCAGTCGGTCACCGAAACAAGAAAACTGAGGCCAGGCGATCACCAAAACACGAACCAACATGGTCAGCATCACCTTGCAAAGCAAAGGCCAGTCGGTCCCCGAAACAAGCAAACCTGCATCAGCAGCATCACATGGCAACGGCCAGCCGATCACCAAAACAGGACAACCTGCATCAGCAGCATCAGCCGGCAAAGGCCCATCGGTCACCAAAACATGACCACATCACCAACGGAAGCAGCCGGATATTGAACCCCAACAGCAAGCGAGGGCCCAGCATCATCAATATCAAATGGTAAGGGTTCGCCAGTTGACTTCCAGAACAAAACAAAAGCTTAACCACTGGTAGAACTGCAGCCTCGGGAGGCAAGGATTTGCCACTGATTTGCCAATTGTCTTGACAGGGGCACAAAAAGCTTGCATCACCAGCATCTAAAGGCTGTGAAGGCGAGCGACCGAAGCCCAGCTCAACAATATCAGTCATGGGCTGCCGCAAAAGCATTCGTCAAGCGAGAACAGAAAGCTGCTGGCATCGGCATCGGCCAGCATCACTATTTTCTGTTCGGCGTAGGCTGGCATCATGAATATAAGCGGCCACAGAGCAGACGAGTATCAACCGCATCGGCAAAGAAAGGCAGACCCCAAATGGGGCCGTGGTAAAAGGTTGTCGATTGTAGCAAGATCCCCCGCCATGAATTATCTATGAGTATCTGATGGGAAGTGGCGAGCGGTGAGCTGCTTGTATCCACTTAGCCGAAGCACGACGAGAAGCCAGCAGTAGCAGCAGCAGCAGCAGCAGCAGCAGCAGCAGCAGCAGCAGCAGCATGAGCCGGGAACTGCACGACTCACCGGCAGCAGGTTCGACGGTACCCAAACCATGTACCCACCGCCAACCATCAGAAGGATCTGAAGGCTGCACGCGCGCGCGGGACCCGTCAAAGTGACGAAGCATCGAACCACCTAAACCCTAAACCCTAAACCGGAGCCTGAGGGCATGGCTGCAACCGCTCGAAGGCAGCCGTGACGTGGGCCTGCCCCGTAGGTGCAGCCCGCCCCAAAGGGCCCTGAAGCCCCAAAACCTTCGCCATGGGGTCTTCCCAAAGTGGCCTCTGCAAAATGTTCTGCAAGGTTCCACTGCAGAATATTGTGGAGGAAGCTCGCACCGTCAGGGGCACAGCTAAGTCCAAAATCCCTCCTATACTTCAGCAGGGATGACTTGGGTGACTGCACTTTAAGTGAAGCGCTCCGATGCCGCGCTTTAGAGTATCACGCAGACCGGGATCTTACAGGGCCTTAGACTAGGACGTTACGTCAAAACCGTTGTTGCTTATTCTTTTATACCTATATATCAGCAGATTGGGCCGTCACGCTCCTTCACAGTGCATGCACGGCTTTTGAATCAACACACCGGCGCCAGTGCCTCCCCGCTGTGGTGAGGTGACCAATGCAAGACACGACCGCTGCAGTGCTCGGCTTCGAAAGTTAGGTGCTTGCTAAAACCCCAACTAACTCGTCGTAACCGATGTCAGAGACAAAGGCTGCTTCATGACCTGGACAGTGGAAACATCAAAAACCTCACATTTCACTGGGGATCGCCTGACGTGCTCTCGACTCCAACAGTCTTGCACTAACACGCGAGCTGACCACCTGGAAGCACTAGTCTGAAGAAAAATGCACAAGCACACCGGGGAGGAGGGCACTTGATGAGGCAATCTGTCTATATTTCAAGCTTACCAATGCTAAGCCCCGCCCTGAGCCTAAGAACCTGCATGCCCATGCGATCTGTTGAGGTCTTTGGAAATTAAAAAATGACTCTCGAATTTCGCGACCCAGCACTGAAGCAAACGTCTGGCGTCGGCATGGGAGCTCTGCTATTCTGTTCGCTTGTTCAAACTGCAGATCCTCATTGACACCGAAATAGGCGGCTCCCGGGGTAATTCTGGCCCTACAGGAGCCCAGGCTGCAGTGCAACCTCACATCTGGCTCCCATGCTGGCACGCTTCCTTGGGAAAAGGTGCCTTCATGGATTAAGAGTTTCGGGCTCGAGGTTTCAAGGTCTATACTAAGTTCCATCACTGCAGCAGTAGAGTCCCGTTATAATCAAGCTATTCAAACATGATCTGCGCCGTCACCAATTAGCTGCTGGATGCTGCTGGTCTCTGGTTACTCGCTACTTGGAGCCTTATATGGAACCTGGTGCTTCACTTGGATGCCTTTGGGTCAGTTCACTCAAGGCGTCACTTGCTGATAGAGCCCATCAAAGCTCTTTCTGCAAGCCTCGGCAAGCAGTGTCTCAGAAAGAAAAGGATTTCGCGCAATCAGCGTTGCCGCTCACTCGGGATTCGGGTTTCGCAACGGCCGCTCCCAGAATTCCCTTCAGCCTTCACCCTTGAAAGAAGCACGGCCCGTAATGACCCACCGGCTACCCAGCACGATACTGTAGTGAGGTCTGCTCAGCCCAGGACTGATTGAAAATACCGACAAGAGCCAATGATGGGCAAAGGCTGCCACGAGGGGCAGGGTCAGGACTTTGGTTGGCTGGAGATTGAGACATGGATCGGATCGGGACTCTTGCAAGTCGCCTAGGGTCTTAGTGCTTAGCCGCCTTTGCCTCTTCACCCCACGGTTCTTGCGTCGAGAGATCCAGGAAGGAAGCTGCAACAACATTAATAAGGATTGCCTAGGCTTCTCCAATGAGTGCCGAAGTACTTAGCCACGACAGTAAACCAACACGGAATGGGGCACAGCAATTCCTGGTCGCAGAGCCGAAGCTTCAAGCTGTAAGCCACAAGGACCTACAACCCGAAGATGTGCCGAGCAGCTGAACCCGCGCGGTCATCTCAAGCACCTGCAGGCGCAGACTGTCAGGTTTTGATGCTCAACTTAATCGGACCACGATGCATGTCAAAGAAAATCAAGGCAGGCAAGGCGGCACGACACGTTCTTTAATGCATAAACAATCACCGGCGATAAGCGAAAAAGTCTTGTCGCCTAGCAAACTCGAACCGCTGGCAGCCTCACAAGCTCCAACCCAATGTCACCGGCACACTCCTCCAAGGAATGGCCTCCCGTCTCAGGAAGGATGCAAAATCCATAGATGCTCATGAGAACCGCAACAGCAACGTAAATCAGCAGCCCCGCTGGCCCCAAAGAAATCACGTCTATGAAAGTCAGAGAGGTCAACCAGCCGGCTGCAAACAGCGTGGCTGTGGAAACGGACTGAGCTGCCGAGGCATAGCACGGCCCTCCCACAGCAGTGACCTCGACAACCACTACCCAGTAGCCGATGCCCCAGGTGCTGTAGAAGATGGCAATAAAGAAGCTCATGCCAGTCAACAGCAGCCCTGGGCTTCCCCAGGCAGCACCCAGCACGAGGATCAGAAGCGCCACAGCGGAGAGGCCACCGCCCGCCCCGAGCAGCATCCGCCTGGACACGTGTTCAACGATCGCCAGGCCCAGAATCACACCCAACATCTTGGCGCCCACCACCGTCAGCGTCAGCAGGTCTTGGCGTTCCTGGCCGATGCCCACGCCGGCGAGCATCTTCTGCGCGTAGATGAGTATGGACGTCGAAGCACAGGCCTGATCAAGCACTGCAGCTGCAAGAGCCAGGCCCAAGCCGCGCCTTGCCCCAGCAGGGACCTGTCGGGAGCCGATGATGATCGCGCAAGCATCCGTCAGTGTGCGACGGAGGATCGGCAGCGTCCGGAGGCGGACGGCCTCATCCTTCTCCTCCAGCTGGCTGTCTGCCCTGTAAAGAGGGTTACCAGCCGCAAGATGCTATTCATCCCACAGACGGATCAGATCGTCCCGGCCTTCAGCCGTGTCTGCCGTGTCCGTGTCACTCGAATGCTCTTCAAGGCTGCCTCTTCCAGATCGATATGTCTCCAGACGCTTCTCTGCACCTGGCCGTCGAAGGCTGGAGATCTCCTCCAGCACAGCCAGCAAAGACGAAGGGCTGGATCCCCTCGTCTGCAACATCCACCTTGGCGACTCCGGCACAGTGCACACGAGCATCAGCACGGGGAAGGCGAAGACAAAAGGCACACATCCCGCCTGGTAGCGCCAGACTGCGTCGGAATCCAGCATCTGCAGGAGCGCATTGGCCAAAGCAGCCAGGAGCATCCCAGAGGCAATTCCCATCTCGTACATTGCCTCGAAAAAGCCTCTCTGCTCGGGTAGCACCACCTCGCTGAGGTAGCTGGGCGTGGCGACCGAGGCGAGGCCGATGCCAATCCCCATCAAGAATCTTCCCACGATCAGCTGTGGCAGGCTGTGGGCTGTAAAAACGAGTGCTGGTCCGATCATGCTTGGAATCGCCGACCAGCCGATGATCGTCCGCCTGCCCCGGGACATGATCAGCGCCCCGCCGAAGAGGCTGCCGAAAATGGCACCACCTTTCGCGCCGGAGACGACCCATTCAGTCTCTTTCTTGTCCAGCTGCAGCTCCTTCGACATAGACTCAACCGCCGCCCCGATCGATGCCAAGTCCACTCCGAAGAGGAGGCCGGCACCAACTGCAAGGACGGCCAGGCGCCAAAACATGGCTTCTTCCACGCTAGTCAAGCAAGCAAGTCCGAAACATCGTCCTGTTTGAGGACCGAGGATAACTTACTATCTGATTATCCTTTAGCAACAAGCCGCCGAGCGATTAGACTTCTCTACCGTCAGACTCCTCTACTGTCAGCCCAGAAACAGAGTGGCGCAACCTAGGGCTGACTTTCTGGACTCGCACGGCCCTCAACGAACCAAGGCCTGAATCTCCTTACTGCCCAACACAGCCCTGACATCTCCAAACTCTGAACCAGCAATGCAAAAGGACATCCAGCCTCGAGAATAGCAGCATCGTGGCCCCAAATGTGGCCGTCTAGCAACCTCGGTGATCGCGTGACGATGAACACGGGGCCAAGGAAAGTGCTGAGGGCTCACCCTCCTCATCAGTGGCTAAAGTTCGGCTGAAGCACCAGCAGGCTGACTAGACGCGTGACCCTGACACCTTTACGACTAAGTAGATATTATTCCTATTGTTGAAGATGTTGCGTTTTCTGTTGCTGCTGCTGCTGCTGCTGTTGCTGTTGTTGTTGGCTCGGTCCCCAAGTAAACGTGCACAATCGACATGTCGTCCTCGTCATCGTCGTCGTTGTCGTAGTCGTCGTGGTCGCTGTTACTGTTGGTGATGTTGTCGTTGTGGGTGTGGTTGGTGTTGTGTCGGCCAAGGTCCTTAACCAGGCCCG